GCGATGCCTGGACGAGTGGCGACCTATGGCACTCCCTGCACGTGCCATCCTCCACACTACATTCTAATCTCCATGACCTTCAGCAATTCATCTCAACTGACCTCATTTTATCATCTTTGAAAATGATGTCCCAGGTGCCTTCTAGTATATAATTATGTGGAGCATCAGCTCTTTTTTTGTAGAAAGATCTTTCAAACCTTATTTATAACATGACATGTTCAATTGGATTGTGATATTGCTTTATTATTATCCTTTTTATAGGGAAGACGTGTATTTTTCACTGTACATGCTTCCTTTATGTGAAATTTAATCTTTTAAAAGCATGGAGGAATTAGGAAAAAATCATTGTAACATTTTGAAGCAAATATTTAAATGTTCAGATTCCTCCTTGTCTGTCCAAATTACTGTTTTGGCTTTGGTACAAAAAGGTATAATTTGATGGATTGTCAGAAAAATTATACCAATGACTTAGTTAACCAGAGTCACACTTCTTCGTGCTCATTGCCATGTAAGAAGTCATATTCACTGAAGCATCATAAGGAGGCAAATTGTCTCCATCTTTGTCCAACCAAAGCTCTTAAATTTGAACTTCATTTTATAGTACAACAATTCCTGGAAGCAAATCAATTCCAGTGGTACTCATAGAATCATAATTTTAAATGATGACAGTAGTAATTTAGCTTATATTAGCAGGAATAGAACTAAGAGACAGAAAGATTAAGAGATATACCAGAGGTAACCCTGTAAGAGCCAAGGTTTGATTTGAGGCTTGGACTTATCAGCTACTGACCTAAGCCTAGTTAATACTTGATAGTATCCAATATATATTATACCATTTATTACTGTTATTTTATTTATTAAAGGTTGTTATTTTTTTAAATTACAGTAGGACACAAATCAATAAATGTAGAAGGAAAGATGGAATTGTAAGGTCAACATCTTGCAACTATTATGGGAACACAGACATCTCCTTAACCATGGGGTAAAGTTAACTCTTTGAATAAAGTGACCATTATTTTATGATGTCCTTGACAAAAAAAAAGGGCATAATCTGTATCTTTCATGAGGAAATATTGGCAAATCCAAATTTGAGAACATTCTACAAAACTTACCTATATTCTTAAAAATACCAGTGTCTTGATAGGTAAAGAGAGACTAGAATTGTTCTACATTGTCAGAAAATATGAATATTTGACATTAAATGTAGTTTTCAAATCCTGGAAAGGATGTTGTAGAATGAAACATATGAAATATATTACTGGGAAAATTGGTAAATTTTGAATATGGATTGTATGTTAAGAATAATGTTGAATTCCTTTTCAGTTTCCTGATTTTGACAATTGTAGTTATGTAGGAAAGCAGACTGTGGTGAATTATGATAAATAGGAGCTGTCTGTGTTTCTTTTTGCAAACTTACTATGTTTAAGATTAAACAAAAATTATCAAAAATATTGAATTGAAATAGAAATATGCTCTTTTGTAACAAGTATAATCTTCCAAAAATGTAGCAAAAATGAAGTTATTAAATTACTCTTCACTGTCCCCTCCATTCTTTTTCTCCTGAGTTAACAATGTAAGCAGAAAAATTACATCAATCTACACATGTACAAGACCTGTCCAGAAAGTATCCAGCCATATACTGTGAAAAATAAAGTTATTGAAGAAGATACATGATACAAGAAACATTGTACCTAGGAAAATGATACATCAGTCCCCTTCAAAGTAGGCATGTTGGGACCTCACACTGTTCTTCCAATAATCACCAACTGCCCTATTGTATTTTTCTGAAATTAATTGATGGTCTGAAATCTCTTACCTTTCAAAGGTGGTACTAATTTTTGGAAAAGCCAGAAGCTGGGGTGCCAAATCAGGGCTATAGGGAGGCTGAGTCACCTGGGTGATTTGCTGTTTTGCCAAAAAACTCTGCACAAGAGACATGATGCATAAACATCATGAAGCTACCAATCACCAGTTGCCCATAGCTGTGGCCTTCTAAATCATCTCAACAATTTCCACAGAGGAATGTTCAAACTTAATGCAAAATGTGTTGCAGATTATTTGCTCCAATTGCTCAGTCATTTTGAATGTTATGGCCACACAGTACATATGCTCATTCAAGAGTATTTACCACCCCTACTGACTAGTAGAGTGAAGTCATCATTGTTTATGTATGCTCATTCCAGTAAACTCACCTTTGCTGCCTTATTACATCAATGTTACACAGAACATTCTCATTATATTAACAATGGTTGGAATTTTTCTGGATAGACCTCATATAATTAGATGTTTGCATGAATACACATTTGTAAGATTTTTGCTTTTTTTCCCCACAAATTATTTATTGTTGTCATATTACTTTTTAACATATCAATAAGTCACAAATGTCTGTCAAGTTTAATACATATAGAAATAACTCATGTGTTTCACTGTTGCTCAATACCTTGTAGTATGGAACGACCCACTGTTTTTTTTTTCTTTTAATTCAATCATTTCTCCTATTTGAAATTCAGGTGGTTAATCATTTTACACTACAAAGAATGTTGCAATAAATATTATTATATATAATAATATGTATAGTACATTATAAAAGTTTAATATATATTTGCATACATATATATCTGATACTTTTTTAATTCAAATAAGTGTTTCCAAATGTAATATGACAGTGAAATTACACATTTTCTACAAATTTTCTATATTACTTCTCATAAAAGTTCACAATTTCCATATAAAATGTATGAGAGTTTGAATTCTTGTACCTTTAAACATTTTATTTGTTTGCTTTATATTTCTCCTATATCCTACTTTATATAATGATTTTATATCTGCTTTTTTATGTATTATCTTGCTTTCATATATTTCGAATGCATTTAAAATATAAAATAATACATACCTATAACAAAAAATAAAATTATATACAATGTAACAAATAGTTAATAGTTGCACTACAGTTTTAGTCTATGCATTTTCAACGTTTATTGATATGACAATGTATTTTATTCAAAGGGCTTATGTATCTAATATTACAAGATCTACAAGCTGCCCTAAAAACCTAAATTTGAGATGGACCAATTATCATATCTTTTCTGATTTTTCTTTTGTATTTTATTCTCCATAATTGACCTTTCCTTTCTCACTAGCCAATCTGTTTAGGGAGACTTCTATAAAGATATAGGGAACATAAAAATGGAGATATAAAACAAGGAAAAAGGATTCATGGACATGGACAACAATGTGGTAATTGCAGGAGAGAGGGAAAATTTTTTAAAAATTAGTAAATTGAATCCAGGATTGTACAAAAAGAATTATACAACATGACCAAGTAGGATTTAATGCAGGTATGCAAGCTGGTTCAACATTTTAACATCAAAAAACAATGAATGCAATCTATTACACCACAGGCTAAATGCTTGTTCATGAGGAACCTAGTGCTAAGCTAAACATTTCATAGACAATCTGCTTCTAAAGCCAAACATATAAACAAACAAACAAAAAGGCTAAAAAGTTATGTGATTATGTTGGTAAATGCAGTTTGACAAAATACAACACCCATTTATGAGAAAAACTCAGTAAATTAAACATACATAACAAAATTTTTCAAGGTGATAAAGAATACATACAAAAAATCACAGATAACATTATACTTAATGGTGAGAATTTTGATTCCTTGTGCATTCCAAATTGTCTCTTTCAGTTTGAAATTCTATGTACATCAAAACATATTTTCCATTAATTAAACACAGATATAATTTTGCTTAGGGAGCTTTTTTAAAATATCAGATTTTTCTGATATTTTCTGATATTTCATAAAAATGGAGATGTTGTATTCTTCTGTTTATGTAGAAGAAACAGAAATGAAGAATACACTAACTGAAATGAAGAATACATTACAGGGAATCACTAGTAGAGTGGATCAAGCAGATGATCAAATCAGCAATTTGGAAGTGAAGGAAGCAGAAAACGTCCAATCAGAACAAAAAGAAAGAAAAAAAATCCAAAAAATGAGCATAGTTTAAAGACATTTAGCAACAACATCAACTGTACCAATATTTACATGATGGGGATGCTGGAAGGAGAAGAGAAAGAGCAAAGAATTAAAAACCCATTTGAAAAATTAATGACAGAAAACTTTCCCAACCTGGTGAAAGAAATAGATATACAAGTCCAAGAAGCACAGACAATCACAAATAAGATAAATCCAAAAAGGCTCACAGCAAAACACATCATAAGTAAATGCCAAAGTTTAAAGACAAAGAAAAAAATCTTAAAAGCAGCAAGTGGAAAGCAGGAAGTTACCTACAAGAGCGAGCCAATGAGACTTTCAGCTGATTTCTCAACAGAAATTTTATAGGCCAGAGGGACTGGCACTAAATATTCAAAGTGATGAAAAACAAGGACCCACAGCCGAGATTACTCTAACCAGCAAAGCTATTATTTAGAATCAAAGGTCAGATAAAAAGCTTTCTAGATAAGAAAAAGCTAAAGAAGCTCATCACTCCCAAGCCAATATTACAAAATGTGTTAAAGGAATGGCTTTAAGAAGTAGGAAAAGATTAAATATGAATAATAAAATGGCAATAAAAATATTTATCAACAATTACTTTAAATACAAATGGTTAAATGCTCCAACCAAAAAATATACGGGAGCTGAAGATAACAAAACAAAACCCTTTCATATGCTGTCTATGAGAGACTCAAAATAAAGATACAGATACTGAAAGTAAAAGGATGGAAAAACGATTTCATGAAAATGGAAACAAACAAAAAAAGCTGTGGTAGTAATACACTAGAAAAAAGAGACTTTAAAACAAAGTCAATAACAAGAGACAAAGAAAGACCCAGAAATTTCACTTTTGGGTATGTATCTGAAAAAACACAAAACACTAAATTGAAAAGACACTTGTACTCATATATTCATTGCAGTATTATTCAAAATAGTCAAGATATGGAAACAACCTAAGTGTCCATCAGAAAATGAATGGATAAAGAAAAAGGGGTATATTGCCTCTTGGCCATTTAGCTAAGATCAAGTGTAGTATCTGTTCTTATCAGTTTGATATCTTACATGTCCTCTATTTGAGAATATTATATTAAGTGGATTTTTGGAGCTGAGAGGTGGAATAGGAGTTTGCTCTACCCACTATGCGCATTGACCTGGTATTGCAGTACTTCCAGAAATGGTGCACCAAAAGAAAAGAAGAAGAAGAAAAAGTAGTATATATGTACAATGGAATATGACTCAGCTATAAAAACCATAAAATCTTGCTATCTGCAACAACATGGATGGATCTAGAGAGTATCATGCTTAGTGAAATAAGTCAGACAAAGACAAATGCCAGATGATTTCACTTATATGTGGAATTTAAGAACAGAATACTATGAAATGGCAATAGAAAACATAAAATAAAGATTAAATTAAAAATAAACTAAAAAGAGAAATGTGGAAAAAATTAAATAAAAACAGAATAAATGAACAAGCAGAACAGAAACAGATTCATACACTCAAAGAACATTTGATGGTTGCCAGGTGGGTGGGGTGTTGAGGGACTGGTGGAAAAGGTGAAGGGATTAAGACATGCAAATTGAAAGTTATGGAATATCATAGAATGTAAAGTGCAGCATAAGGAATATAGTCAATAACATTGTAATAACTATGTGTGATGTCAGGAGGGTACTAGATATCAGGGTGATCACTTAATAAATCATACAAATATCTAGTCAATACATTGTACACATGAAACAAACATAATATTTTATATCCAACAGTAACTGAAAGATAAAAAAATACATAAAAAACTGACAAAATAAAATAAAAAGGGACACCTAGGAGCAGTGTATTATTTTTCGTTTTGATATCATCATGTTTTCAAGTGATTTCCAAAAAATAGAATAGCATTTATAACCATGAAGAAGTCATTAACATTGTAAGAATGACAGAATAATAAGGTGGGGGGAAAAGCTGAATTCTTGATGATTTCATTTTACCATTGAACTAACCAATTTTACAGCTGCTTTATTCCTGGGCTTTGGATAAGCTCATTAATTTATCACATTGTTATGGTCATTTGTAGTTTGGCTGAAACTGAAATCATTTACATTCATCACTATGTTAGGCATCAATGGTAAATATTTGAACCAAATATAATCTGGCTGTTTTGCATCTTGCATTTGGTGCTCTTTCTTGGTACCTTCAGAGATAGATAGGATCTGTACTTCTTAATGTTAATTCCAAATTACAGATTAGTATTTAGCAGTGATTAAAAGTAAAATAGGTTATATAAAAAGGTTTTATATTTCAAACTCTAGTCAGTAGTTTGGTCAGAATATTTATGGATTGTTGAAGATATCTTACTCTACAATTTCATCAAAGAGTTTATTCCCCAAAGAGAGTAATGTAGGAACAGATGTCAGCTCTTGTTTGTGATGAATGATGGCTATGTGAAGTAATGATAGTTTGCATCTGTACACAATTCTTTCAGGACATTATTCAATTTAGAAATAGTCACAGGTAAGCAAATTCTAGATTACAGTTAAAAGTACTTTGTAAATGCCCAATGCTATTAGAATTAAACTGTCCTTTGAAAGAGATTTACTTATAATAGCTTATCATGTGAGCAATTTAAATAAATACGTATACAAATATTGAATCATTATATTGTATTCATGAAACAAATATAATGTTATATGTCAATTAAACCTAAATAAATAAATACCTAGTATGTACTTAACTTGAATTAAATAATAATATTTAGATAATAGACATTATGCACTCCCTGCTTCGGGGACTAGTCTTAGGATTCTAGCTTCAAAAACATGCTTGGGAAGATAAGTTAAAAAAAAAGTTTAGTAGTTTTAATACTGATTTTTAAAAATATATGTAAATTTGTTTACTCCTGAGTGAAATTTAAAAGTGAATTTTTCATGTGAGTATGCTGTTACAAATATTTCCAATCACTGATTAAGAAACCTATCTGTAATTACAAAATGTAAAACATCAGGGTAGATAAAGAGGTTGGCTTTTAAAAAAACATGAAACAGTAAAAACATTAAACAGATATGGTTGAAGTAAAAATTTTAAGGAGATTCCTTCCAGGTAATTAGAATCTTGGAATATTGTCGTTATATAATTTCCTTGACCTCAAAACTCTTCGAAAAATCTGATATTTTAAAAAAGCTCCCTAAGCAAAATTATATCTGTGTTTAATTAATGGAAAATATGTTTTGATGTACATAGAATTTCAAACTGAAAGAGACAATTTGGAATGCACAAGGAATCAAAATTCTCACCATTAAGTATAATGTTATCTGTGATTTTTTGTATGTATTCTTTATCACCTTGAAAAATTTTGTTATGTATGTTTAATTTACTGAGTTTTTCTCATAAATGGGTGTTGTATTTTGTCAAACTGCATTTACCAACATAATCACATAACTTTTTAGCCTTTTTGTTTGTTTGTTTATATGTTTGGCTTTAGAAGCAGATTGTCTATGAAATGTTTAGCTTAGCACTAGGTTCCTCATGAACAAGCATTTAGCCTGTGGTGTAATAGATTGCATTCATTGTTTTTTGATGTTAAAATGTTGAACCAGCTTGCATACCTGCATTAAATCCTACTTGGTCATGTTGTATAATTCTTTTTGTACAATCCTGGATTCAATTTACTAATTTTTAAAAAATTTTCCCTCTCTCCTGCAATTACCACATTGTTGTACATGTCCATGAATCCTTTTTCCTTTATGTTCAATTCTTCTACTCCTTGCCCTTCCCCTCCTTAGCTGTCATCCTGGATCTGTTACTCTGTCTCTACTTTGCTTGTTAGTTCAGTTCTTTAGATTCCACATATGAGTGAAATCATATGGTATTTGTCTTTCTCAGACCGGCTTACTTCATTTAGCATAATGTTCTCCAGGTTCATCCATACTGTCACAAATGGTAACATTTTCTTTTTCTTACAGCTGAGTAGTGTTCCATTGTGTAAATGTCCCATAACTGTTTTAGCCACTCATCTACTGATGGACACTTGGGCTGCTTCCATATCTTCGCTGCAATGAGAATGGGAGTGCTTATGTTCTTTTGAATTTGTATTTTGGATTCCTTTGGATATATTCCCAGATGTGGAATCACATCTTGGGTTCCTTTGGGTTGGTAGGTCAAAAGGCAAATCCATTTTTAATTTTTTGAGGTATCTCCATACTGCTTTCCACAATGGCTGCACCAGTGTACGTTCCCACCAACAGAGCAGAAGGGTTCCCCTTCCTCTATATCCTAACCAGCACTTGTTGTTTGTTGATTTATCGATTATAACCATTTTGACAGGTGAGAGATGGTATCTCTTTGTGGTTTTAATTTGCATTTCTCTGATGGTTAGTGATGTTGAACATCTTTTCATATGTCTATGGACCATCTGTATGTTCTCCTTGGAGAAGTACCTATTCAGATCTTTTGCCCATTTTTTAATTGGGTTGTTTGGTTTTGGGGTTTTTTGGGGGGGAGGGGGATTTTGAGTTTTTTAAATTCTTTATAAATTTTGTATTTAACCCTTTATCAGATATATCAGAGAAAACACACAAGGATAAACTCCAAATGGATTAAAAACTTAAATGTTAGACCCAACACCATAAAAACATAGAAGAAAACATAGCACAATCTCAGACATGGAGTGTAGCAATAATTTATTAGATTTATCTCCCAGGAAAAGAAAAAAAAAAAGAAAAAATAAACAAATGGCACTATACCAAACTAAAAAAATTTGCACAGCAAAGGAAACCATCAACAAATAAAAAGACAATTTGTTACTTTTTAAAAAGGTCTTCACTTTCTTTTATTATGAAAAATCTTAGTTTATAGTTTTCTTTCCTTGTAATATCTTTTTCTGGTTTTGATATATGAGTAATGTTGGCTTCATATAATGACTAAGAAAGTATTCCCTCTGTTTGTGTCTTTTGAAAAGAAATTTTAGATAATAAGTATAATATCTTCCTTAATTGCTTAGAGAGATCTACCAGTGAACACATCTGGTCCTTATGCTTTCTGTTTTGGAAGGTTATTAATTATAGATTTAATTTATTTAATGGAAAAGTCCTGTTCAAATTCTCTAGTTCCTCTTGTGTGAGTTTTGGCAAATTGTGCCTTCCAAGGAATTGCTCTACTTCATTTAGGTTATCAAATGTGTGGGCATGGGGTTGTTCATAGTATTTCTTGATTATATTTTGCATAGGATATACTGTAGTGCTATCCCCTCTTTCATTTCTGATAATAGTAATTTCTGTTCTCTCATTTTTTCTTAGTTAACTGGCTTAGATATTTACCAATTTTACTGATCTTTTTGAAAAATTATTTGCTTTTAGTTTTATTAATTTTCTCAAGATGACGGAGGGGTCAGTGGAGGTCATACTGACTGCCTCCCAGTACCAACCTGGAATTACAACTAAATTGTGGAGAAATCACCTGAAAAAAACAACTGAACAAAAGCGAGAGAGGACCCTTGTACCCTCTGAGATAGAAGAATTGGCTTTAGCGCAATCTATCTGGTAAGGAGCAAGGTACAGACTCAAGAAGGTGGGCACGGCATTCACGGGAGGCAGCACCAGAAGGATATTGAAACGGCCAGTTGTATCCCCCTGAGAAGAGCGGGGTCTAAACCAAAAGTGGGGATCTCCAGCCTATAGCACTAGAGCCCAAAATGTACACAGAAAACATCCAGCTCCAAAAAGCTACAGGGTTTCTCTCTGCCAGAGACTGGTGGCTGGAGACCAAAGAACCATTTAAAAATGCATAAATTTTTATTTGCAGCCACTTATTCTGGTTTCCAGAAAAGCGGGGCAGAGTGGGCTAGAGATGCATGAGGAGAGGCTGAGGGAGGAGACTTTGGGGAGAAAACTGAGTGGCTGGCAGGATGTCGGTGCTGACTCATCCCCCATTGTGGCAGCAGCCATCTTGTTCAGGCAGAGACCGCTCCTACTGAGTGGCAGCAGCATCAGAAAACCCAATAGCCTCTCCCCCAGGTGGGATTCCACCCCACCCTGTGCTGTTGAAGGGAAAGGAGGAATCCCCAGAAAGAGAACTAAATGAAATAGAGGCAAGTAAACTATCAGATATTGAGTTCAAAGTAACTGTTCTAAGGAAACTTAAGAGCTCAGTGAGCTCAGAGAGAATTACAAAAAAACTACAGGGAAACTACAAGGAACTTA